AGGACAGCTTGCATTTGGGCAGAGCCTGGTGCCACTGTGATATCTCACCGTGGTGCAGAGAGAACTGGCAGGGTCTGCTGGGGCTGAACTACGCCTCTGGTTGGGACCCAATAAGAGATACAAAACTGTCGCGACTGTGACGTCCACAAGGTGCAGCCTAACTTGTGGATTGACTGGCACAGAGGCTGGAGGCTATCCTGCACCGTCCCTGCATTCCTGTCTGTGCCTCAGATAACAGCAAATTGGGGAGGGCAGCAAAACTGTCAGCAATCTTCGGAAAGACCCTAAGCAATACAGAAAGAGCCAGAGACCCCTAGGACACATCAGTCTGAAAGAAACCAGAAACATGACGAGATGGAAATTAAAAAAAAAATTCCAGCTGTCAAACATGGAAAAATAAGCCCAGGAGAAGTAAACATGGAAGAGAACCAGTACAGTAACCATCCAATACTAGACACAGCATCAGCGGATATAAAGAAATACCTTCATGACCTCATAGATGAATTTAAACTGTACTTCTGATCCAAGTGAGGCAAGATATTAAGAGTTTAATTAAAGAAATGATAAGCCCCTCCTAAGAGAACACAGATGGAAGAACACCGGAAATCAGAAAAGAAAGAGAAACCTCTGATGAATTTAAACATAACCTAGAATATATGAAACAGATCCAAAGAGATTACCAGGAAACTAAAAACCCCATTGAAAACTGGCAAAATGCCTTGACAGAAACTAAAGTTAGCCTTTTGAAACTTGAAGATTTATGATATATGACTGCAAAAGAAAAGACGTCTTAGAAATAATGAGGAACCAGAAAGAAAAAATTCAAAGGCTAGAAGACAGCAAAAGGATACATAACTTAAGAATAAAGCACATGAGGGAGGAAGCAGAAGAAACCAAAAATGAACTACAAAAACTATTCACAGATATATTAAAGGAAAACTTCCCAGGCATAGGAAAAAGAAATGATATCCAGATAAGTGAGGCATACAGAACTCTAGCCACCTACAACCAAAACAGATCTACATCCAGACATTAATAATCAAGATTCCAGAAATCCACCAAAAGAACAGAATATTAAAAGCAGCCAGGGAAAAGAAGCTGATTATCTACAAGGGAAGAATTATCAAAATAACAACAGACTTATCAACACAAACTCTCAAATTGAGAAGAGGCTGGGGGGAATTATCCAAACCCTGAAAGGAAATAATTTGCAACCAAGACTGATGTACCCAGAAAAACTCTCTCTCAAAATTAATGGAGAAATAAAATGTTTCCAAGACGAGGAACTGTGGGAGTTCGTGGCCACCAAGCTAACCCTACAGAGAATGCTAAAGGACATTCCAGAGAAAGAGAGGAAGGGATACCAGGATTCCAGCAACAGTGGCAGAGAGGCCTCAATGAACAGGGCAGACAGTGGAATGAGGGAGTAATGTAGACAAATTATAGCAGTAAAGTGGAGTAGCAGATATGAGGCAGAGACAGTAAGCTATAATCTTTAACATAGATAGCCTTGATACACTAAAAAAAAACATGCAGAGTAGATTAGGAGACAGGTCCATCGAGATGCTCTGAATGGGAAATACAATCAAACTGGAGGGTTAATAAACTGAAAATCAAAAATGAGAAAGCAAAGCTATATGCGACAGGAAGCCAGAGAGAAATGGGGACAACTCATCCAGCAGCTACAGACAGATTGGAAAGTTATGACACTTTTGGGCAGTGTAGAACTACACAGCTGGAAGGAAGGAAAACCCTATGACTTTAGTGAGTAAAGGAGTACAGCTCAAGATCAAGCTCAGGGGTAGAAAGGTTCAGCAACACTCAGAAACACAACAGGCTGGCCCCCTAATCTATAAACTAAAGGGGCTAGTGGGAGCTAAAACATACAAAGCATCCTAAGAAAGGGAAAGGTGAAAATTAGCCAAGGGAAGGCAGAGGTCATTGTTAATAGTGTATCAGGATTTAAAAGTCACAGTAGTCTTATTGCTCTGTTTAGTTTGATTTTATTTTATTCCGGTCTGTCCACTCATATCAGATTTGAGGACACAGACATCTAACCCAAAAATAGCAGGTTATACCATGATAACTATCCTTAATTTCCCATTAACTTAAACTGAAACCCTGTATTACTTACATTGTCTTATTATGACTGATCTTATTTGAATCTGGTTAGACCGTGGTTTTGCCTTGGCTGATTTTATTTGAATTTGATATGCTTGATAGTATCAAGTCTAAAAGTAGAGGCAACTACTCTGAAGATGACAAGATGTAAAAGATATCCATACCGGTTCTGACTATTAACAACTCTCAAGTCCTATAATGTTTTCAAAGTTGTGTTTTTATAAAAATAGCTATGTAATACTATGCTTAACTATATTAAGTCTGATGATGTGGACAAGTCTATTGAAAATAACAAGAGAAAGCAGAGTAACTACAGTAGATCACCTAATATTGTGGTCCTGTGTGTCTTTTTCATTGCATGTTTTTCTAGAAATTTGTTTTGCTGTCTTGTCATGATTTGTTTTCCCCTATAAAACAGAGAGGATAGATATACATGTAGAAATTCACACATAGGAAGAATTTTTTTAAACTATTTACGGGGACAGATTATATAATACACGATGTAATGAACAGATACTCTGAAGAAGAGGAGACACTAAGAAACCCAATGCTAATTCTGTAACATTATGATATAAAATCTAGCAATACTATTATTCACTGTCCAGAGTGATATTAGTCTAGTCTCTTAAGTTCAATTTCTGCATACATAAAGATAAGGACAGCTACTACGAAGAGAATGAGAGACATTATGGTAGTCATTATTGTCTTCCCCAATGTCAGATCTTGAAGACCTAAAAAGCTTTCATCATCCTGTAATGATTTGATTAATTCTATAATATGCAGGATGTATTCAATGTGTGTGAAGATGGGGACAAGTATTTGGAAGAAAACTAGAGACAATAAGATAGATAGTGACGATCTCCAGTGGACTTGCTTTGAAATCTGTATTTCTCTAAATTGTTTCTTTTTGAACTGTTTTGCTCTGTTTTGATGTTTAATAAGTGTGTAGAACTGATAACCGTATTACTAAGTTTTTGTTGGATCAGTGAGCAGAACTGTTGGCAGTGTCACTATTTGAATGTCACTTTACGTACTTTAATTTTGTAACCTGAACAACTATTTCTAAGATGACAATAGGTAACTTATCAACTGGTGATTTCTTACTGTTTACTTTTCTGTAATTCTGTATCATTTCTACCCTTTCTTTCCTCCATGTTTTTGTTTGTTTCTTTCTTTCTCTTTAAATAAAAAAACATTTTTTAATTTAAAAAAAAAGATTACCCAAGCCTTGGGGAACTGGTAAAGAAGAGGGAAAGAAAAGAAAAAAACAAAAACAAGAACAAAACAATAAAATTAAAACACACACAGAAAAAAAACCCCAAAAGTAAAGAAAAAAAGAAATTTCTCTGTGATTTCAAGCTTGTGGTTATCATCTGTTATCTACAGTTTTGCAGCAGGATCCAGTTCACGGAGTGACACTGCTCTCGCTGGTAGACAAAGGAGGCAGTAAAGAGTCCAGATTTGTGGTGGTATAGGATAAGAATAATCACCAGCAAGACTGCAGTGGAATTAAGGCAGGGCCCAGGTTCTGGTACCTTCAAATCCATGGAAATTCAGATTGACCCTGGCCTCTAGTTGTGGGGTTGGGGCCTGAGTCATTTAGTTTATAACACTCTGGGTGTCTCTTGCCAGCCCATTCTTAACTCTTTCTCCTGTGGTTATTCCTCACTCAGTTACTGTGGAAGTTTAACACCAGGAGCTGTCAAATGAAGCCAACCCATGAGTACACCAAGTCCTGTGTTCAGTTGATCCCTCCCTAAAATAGCATCCAATCAAGCACTCTCTTCAGGAGATATGGCAGCTGCTTGGATTGGAGTCACTCTCTAGTTACTGTAGTGCACAACGTTCCCTGCTCCGTTACCCGGTGTGTTTCTCCCTGTAGGCTTCTGGAGTCTTCTGCTTTCACCGTGTCTCTGCAGATTCAATCTTCCTTTCTCACTCCACGAGCCAGGAGCCAGGGAAAAAGTAGATTATCCCAAACTTTTTCTGTGTTGTGGTTTGACTCTTTAATTTCCCTTTAGGCTCCAATTTTCCCTTCAAATCCTTCCCAGGTACCAGGAATCCACTTCCCTCCTTCTTTTCCTCCCCCAAATTGTTATTTTCCAGGTCTGGAGAGGTTACTGGCTCCTTACTGCACTCCCATCTTCCTGAATATCCTCAGCTTTTGTCAGATTGAGATAAGGTCCTTTTATACCTATTTTCTTCACAGTTTTTATCAAGAATGGATGTTGGACTTTGTCAAAAAAAAGCTTTTACTGCATCTGTTGCTTTCCTCTGTTTATGTTTATATCATATTTCTTAATTTGCGTAAGTCGAACCATCCTTGTATCCCTGGGATGAAACCTATGAAGTATAATCTTCCTGATGATGTGCTGCATCGTATTTGCCTGTATCTTGTTGAATATTTTTTTTGCATTTACTTTGTTAAAGAGATGAGCCTGTAGTTTTCTTTCTTAGTTGGGTCCTTGTCTTCTTCTCAGCCAAGAGTAATGCTACCTTCCATGAATAAGTTCAGAAGTAGTCCTTCCAGTTCAATTTCATTAGGTTGAGGTACACTGACATTATATCCTCTCTGAAGGTGTTGTAAAATTAAACAGTGTATAATATAGGTCCTGAGATTTTCTTAGCTGGCAGATTTTTTTGTCGTCTTGGTTCAATTTTTGTAATTCATCTGTGTCTAGGAATCTGTCCATTTTTTCAAGATAAAGGATACACACTTTAAGGACATCTATTCTTTTAAGTGTAATGTTTGAATATAACATTTATTTAATCAGACTCCATATTGATTTCTTGTTACCACAGACAATGCTGTAATGAATAATTTTATATATATGTAAAAATGGGTAATAATCTTGTGTCATTATATAAAACAAAAATAATTATTCTTTTAAATAAGTCAATTTATTAAATACCACTGAAATATACTTTTAAAATATCAATAAAATGCTTTAACAAAAAGACGAGATTTAATATGAAGTGTGAGCATAAAATATAGTGAATGCTTAAATTCTAAAAATTACAGAAAGTCACACTGCCATTAATCCTATTCAAAATATTCCCTCTTACATTGAACACACTTATCCCATCAATCTTGCCACTTATTTTTAATTTTAAAGAGAATAAAACCAAACAAAGTACAACAGAATAAAGCCAATCAAAACAAGGCAAGGCAATACAGAACTTCAAAACAACATAATAGGAAATCAATAACGGGGCCTGGGGATTTAGCTCAGCGGCATAAGCGCCTGCCTTGCAAGCAGGTAGTCATGAGTTCGATCCCTGGTACCGATAAAAAGAAAAAAAGACAGGAAATCAATAACGGCTACCATAATGCCTCTTGTTATCTTCAAAAAAGCTGCCCCTACCATCAGACATAATAAAATCAAACAAAACAAAACAGAATAAAACTACTCAAAACAAAACAATGAAAGCAATACAGGACTTCAAATAGCATAATCGGAAATCAACGACTACCACAATATATCTTATCTTCAAAACAAAAATAATAAAATCAAACAAAACAATGAAAATGATACAGAACTTCAAAACAACATAGTAAGAGATTAACAATGGCTACCATAATGCCTCTTGTTATCCTCTAAATAGATGCTCAGATCACCAGCTTTACGCCTGCAAAGACAACCAAACAATACATGCTCTGTTTGATGGGGTTGTGTTATGGCTTTCTGGTTCTCCCCTGGCCAGTGCAACTTCTGCTAGCTCATAGAGGGGCTTGGGTTCCTGGTTCTCTCCCAGTCTTGCCACTTTGTGAAGTAGTTCTCCATGAGTATCTTAGTGGCAGCTGTCTCCATGCCTTAATTGATTAAAATGTTTATCTTTCACGGTCATTTGACTTTAGAAGAACAAGAAGTCACAAGGCGCCACGCCTGATGAGCAAGGTAGATGACAGCTCATAGTATTTTCATCTAACAGAAACTATCCTAAGGGTTTGGCCATGAGGAATGATCAAAACATACAATTCAGATTTAAATAAATAAAAACATTTACTACCCTGAAAGCCACATTTGTCATTATCCCCTTCAGAATACGTAAAATCCTCCCCCTTGCTTTGGACACACTTATCACATTGTGCTTGGTAATGGGTCTTTTTACTCTATTGTTTTTTTAAAATTTAAACATTCATCTTTTTTTTTTGATCATTCTTTGTACCATGCCATCACACAAAGGAAGGGGAAAGCTTGTCAGCGTTAGTATTCAAAGCCAAATAAGAATGTTTGGATGGTCAGTTCCCCTAATTAGACATATATTAATTTTAGGAGATAATTTATTTAAATGTTATTAACAAACAGATTTTACTACACTATGATTTAGGTCAGTACTGCCCAACTCAACAGTCTACGTCTGTGCTGTTATTGGGGTAGCCACTACAGTGGTCATGTGTGGCTGTACACTTCAAATATGTTTAATGAAACTAAGGGACCAAATTTTTACTTCACTTTAATATATTTTAATTTTAATAATGGCTAATTGTATACTGTTGATATAAAATACAAACAAGTGCCACAATTTTATATTTGTATCTCTCCTCCTATAAACCTACTTCCTATCCCCACCAAAATGAAACAAAAAAATTATTTTTAACATAGTGTTTTTCTCTTCTAGAAGCATTCTGGTTATCTTCAAATAAATAAGTGTTGCATATTAAAATGAAGTAGGAATGAATAAGAGGTGGGAAGTCAGCTCCTAGTAAACATAACAAGGCCATTAACATTACAGAAATAATATATGTCTACTGAAATATTTTAAAGTTTAAAAACTGTAACTGTAGAAAAATAATCATATGAATACTAGTGATAACTGTCATTAAAATTTTGGTATCTTCTTTCGGTTTCCTGTGTTGTCCAATCTGCAACAAATATACTGTTAATCTCTCGATTATATATCACCAACATTTATGTCAAGTCAAATTTCTTTCTGCAAAGTAATTTTAACAACTATCTGTACATCATTATCAATATTATTGTCCCTCACTACTGGATACTTAGGCTGTGCTTTGCTTTTTATATTATAAGTTTTCATGGATTCTTCTCCAGATAAACACTTTAGTGATACTGTTTGTCTTGGTTACTTTTCTCTCATTGCTGAGACAAAATGCCTGGTCTCCGAAATTAAAGAAGAAAAGGTTTATTTAGCTCACATTCAGTCCATACTCAGCTGGCTCAAAGGCAGGGTGGCCTGAGTAAGCGGCAGCAGTTCATTGCTGCTGCAAGTCACAAGAGTGAAAGGGCAAAAAGGAAAGGCACACCTCCTTGCCTTCCTTATATTGTACGCTGGCTCCCCACCCGTGGGCAGGTACAGCACTCATACGGCCAATCCCAGTGCTGGAAATAAACCAATTACAAACACTAAATTCAGCCGCCTCCACAATTGCGTGAAGCTTTGAGGAGACATTTAAACAAATCACAACACTATATAAAGATGTTGAATACTTCACAAGCTCATACTTAAACATAGGATTTTTTATGCTCCCTGCTTCAGAAGAGAGACCAAGCTAAGAAACATTTCCACAAGCCAGTGAACCTCAAAATATGCCCATCCCCCAATCACCTAAAAGGCTCATCAATGATTAATGATAGATTCTTCTCTAACCTCTAAATTCTAGCCTCAAACTTTCCATAGGTACTTGGTGGGAGGGGAGTACTGGGATGAATATAGGACCTTGGGCAGGGTAGGGAAATGCTCTATCGCTAAGTTACCTTCCAGCCCTAAGGTGCATATTCCTAATGGGGGATCATACAAAGAGTTAACCCAGCAGCTGGCAGGCATTTGGAAATCTTTACCTCAGGCCTCTTGAAAGGACCGAAAAGAAATCTATAGAGCGTTCAGGGAGGGTCGAACAATAACCACCCACACAACAGGGCAATTACTGCTCATTATGAGGAGATAATTTAGTTGTAAAATATACTGAAATTAGTTAAAAAGATGATACACTAAAATTTAATACTAGCATTTGAATATAGGTGAATTCTTTTAAATTTTATGGCTTCTTTACCAGTATCAACCCAAGGATTACAAAATTATTAAACTCTGAAGTGCTACCTCAACTTAAAATAGAAAAACATCACTCCTATCATTTTGTTTTGAAGAGGAAAAAGTGATTAACCTAAGTAACCCTAATGTTTTTAGCTCATCAAATATGCAAGGTCCCTATATTCCACACATGCAGTGTTCAACCAGGTGAAATGAATTCCAGAGTGACAAGCTCTGCAAAGGAAGGAAAGGCTGCACGAACTCTCTCTTCTTTGGTAATGGTAGCTATAAAAGCAGGTAAGAAAGCAACATGAGCTGTAATAAGCCACTTGTTAAAGGATAAATGTGAACTAACAGCACAGAATCCCTAGGAATTTCCATACTAGGAAAGCCCATACCTTCTCTCCAACCACTATCCAAGGGCTTTCATTTACGGGTTAAGAGAAGCCCTGCAAGCCAGGCCAGGCCAAGAAAGTCACCTGACAGCAACATGATCTACGACTCAAAGGTGCTGGCCCCTCAAGGTCTAATGGCAGAGCAAAAGCACCTGGAAAAACCCAGACACAGTTCATTTGGGGAATCTAAGAGCACAACTGTGATTAGCAGATGATGGAAGACAAGAAAATGGCCTGTGCCACAGAATCCACTTCAATTCAAGGCAAAAGCTATGGCTGATGGAAAGGTAAGACCTACCGGCACCCTGATAGCCCTTCTCTGACCTGAGAGAAAATTGTCTACACCCAAAAGATGAATAGGTAGTCTTCCAGAACAGAAATGATAAACCTTTTAGAGCTTTCAATCATAACAAACAGCCCACTGCAGCACACGTGCCATGTTCACCACTACTGCTCCAGACCTTCTGTGACAGGCAAACATCCGCTACTATTTCCTGCACAGCAGAAAATCCACTCCTGCCCAGGTTTTTGCTTTTTTTTTTTTTTTTTCTTGGTACTGGGGATCAAACTCATCTCATGCTTGCCAGGCAGGCACTTATACCACTGAGCTAAATCTTTGGCAGTTTCTGCTTTCTTACAAAATAAAAACTGCTGCTGAAACAGGAAACTGTCACCCCTAAGATCCCCTAAAAACACAAGGCAAAATTTGGTCACAGAGTGTGCAGAGACCAGAAGGCAAAGGCGGACCCACCGCACTTTGGTAAGAGATCATGATAGCCTGCAAGGCAAGTCTGGTGCACCTCATATTTTTATGAAGACAGTTTTACTAGAACACAGCAATGGCCATTCATTTATGTAATATCTATGGGTTCATTCACACTGCACCAGCAGAGCTGAGTCCTTGGGACAAACGTTAAGGTCCATGAAAATACTCACAAGGCACTACATGGCTCTCAACAGGAAAAGTCTACCAATCCTCTTTTGGAAACTCAACTGAGGAGAAAAAGGGATCTGCAAGTAGGGTGGGGAGAAAGAGGTGCAAAACACTTAAAAAGCAACCCCAACCCCAGGGACCAGGGCACAGAGACTATTTACCACTGAGGCAGGAGCAAGAGAACCAAAGAAAACCCATATACAATACACATACAACCTGCTATGTTACCCCATACGTGCACCAAATAAAAACAGCCATTTACTGCTAGGGAAGGACACCCCTCTTCCCGCTGTGCCCCAAAGCCTGGTGACACAGGGCCTGCTAAGTGCTGGGGATAGAGTTCTTCTGCATCACTAAAGAATAAAGCAGCAACAACCTACCACTCAAGGAATCTGAAGTTGCAGCAACAATTAAACTTAAATCCAACTTAATTACTGACTGTACTGACTCAGCTCCTTATACTAACACCCTGACAGAAGACAACACATCCATTTTTAGGTATAAATAGCATTCATTTTAGCTGATGCACAAAACCATGAGATAATCTAGGCTCTAATCCTAGCAGTGCAACAAGGCAGTTACAAAAGTTCAAGAACTTTTCATGGAAAACATATCTAAATAAAAATCAATTAAAAAAAAAAAAAGAAAAGCTATCCAAAGAAGCCATAAAGGTCTAGGATAACCTCTTACTCTTCTAGATTCTTACCTCCTAACACTTTATTTTATTCACAATTTTATTTTTATTCACAATTCATAACTAACTCTGTACACCCTGACAAACAAATACACACATCTATTTTTAAGTGATTGTACTTTCCCACTTGTCACAAATTCCATTTTCCAAGTTTAGAATGCTGTTTCAACTTGAATAAGCAGAAGCTTCTAGTAAACTTAGCTGTAAAGCAGGCATATGCTTTTTATCATCTTATCAGTTACTTGTACCGCATCTCCACCTGGGGCCTGGTGTTACACTACAACCTATAAAGGCACATGTCAAAGTGAACAGTCTCTGCCTTCAAAGGCTACTTGTAAGTTTATTAGAATTATGATCTAAGAGCCTAAGAAGCTTGAGGATTAGGGCAGCAAATTCTCTGAGATAAGAACAACTTTTTTGGAATAATTGCCTGAAGTTCTAGATTGGACTTAAAAATAGATATCCAAATAGTGTATTCAGAAAAATTCAGTAGAATACATAGGTGAAGAGTTATTTACCAAATAGTAATGATATTTTACTTGAAAGAAAGGGTACCAAGCAATTATTTTATTATTATTTAAAATATTCTTCATTTTAGTTAAGGAATAAGCATCATATTTGGGGGATGAAAGCTTTTATATTTTAAATATACTCTGCAGTTCAACTGATAACAGAAAACAAAACCTTTCACCCAAAACCTGAAAATTTTGACTACATAGACTAGTTGAGTTATGCTGCCACCCACTGGACCAAAATCAAATAGCAAAGCAATCGGCCTGATTTTTAATCCCCAGAGACAAAGTAGATTTATTGGCAGTTTGGCAGAGATTTTAAATGCTTTCTGGTGTCTGGATCAAAATTAAGTAATGGTGATTAATTTTGGCTAAGTTTCAATTAACTTCCATCAGGAAATGGTTTGAGAGTCAAATAATATATTTAACTTGAAACCAAAATTAAAATTTATAGCTTTAAATATATCAGAATTAAATATATCAGAATATATTAAAAGTTTAAATGTAATTAGTTAACTTTCCATTAATTAAAATAACTGGAAAATATTTAAGCTATTATTTAATTAAAAATTAATAAAATTCATAAAAACAAATGTATAGATTAAAATAAAATACAGCCGAGTTTTCTTTCTCACTTATGTTGTATGCCTTTCTTGAGGATTTGTTTTGTGTTACCCTTTCTCGGGAACAAAAGGTTAAGTAACCCTCTACTGTCTGGAACACCATGGCACAGGAGAGAAATTGGCAGATTTTTATCATCCAAGACAATCTTAAAGGGTTTACAACTTTGGGTACACTATTCCTGGCAGACTATATTAACTTACGCATCACTTACATTTTATATGTCAAGGAAAGTCACTTGACTAAGTCTAACTTCAAGGAGATGGACAAGAACAATCTGACCAGAAGGTGCCCAGAAAGAAGAGAACTAGAAGTATCTGGTCAACAGCACTAAAACTAGCACACTTATCTAGTGAGCACTTAAAACTTACTTCAAGACTACAACAGACCAAAAGAAACCAACCTTGGTAAATTAAGATTCTTGATTTCAAAGGGCTCAGAGTGCTACAATGGTTACATCCTATCTGCTAATTACTACATATCAAAGTGCTGAACTAAGCTTTATAGTAACAACATAAAATGCTACAGAAGTAAAGAAGAAAGCATGATTAATTTTGGTCTGCCAGAGATAGTGATATTAAAAGCTGGGCAAAACTTATAGACAAATAATACATCATCCACCCACCCACCCACCCACACAGAGGGGAAGATAGAAGCAATGGCAAAAGATACCAAATGGAAAGACCCAAAGCTGAAAACACAGTGCATTTAAATTTAAAAAGCAGAATACTTACTGAGTTAAGACTATGAAGAATCTTGACATCTTTGTTAAGGAGCACTGTCTGTTCTTCAGTAAATGGAGCGTCAAAAGTTAAGAAAATAAGTACCAAAGTTTGAGAACAACAAAATGGACTGGGGGAAGTGCAAGTTCAAAATACTGTACAAGGATCGATTACCAGGTGTCCCAGGGAAATTGGGAGGGAAGCTGGCTACTGTCCAGACAGCTATTCAAAAGAATTTAAAGCAGGAGGGAAGGGATAAGTCTGAAATAATGCACAAGCGGAAAAATCAGCAAGACTTGTAACTCATTTTACAGTCTATCCTATCACTCTTCCCATTATACTTTCCCTCTAAAAAAAAGTGCTCAAGAATCAATCCACATCATAATTTTTTTGTGCCCTTCACATGGCATTACCTGGCAACTCTCCGTTGAATTAAACCCTCTAAAACCACTTTTATTCTCCTTTCCCTCCTCAAGCCTCTGCTAATAAAATTCTAACATTTCTACTGGAACCAAAATAAGCTTTGAATACTCTCACCCTACCTCTCTCTTTAAACTGCAGAAGTTATTACTTAGTAAGTTACTTGGCCTTGTACTACTTCTTTAACATCGGCAATGTGTCATAGTCGATGGCTTCTCTTTTTCATTATCATCTCCTGTTCTACTTCAAGATTCCTGGCTTGATTCAGACCTCTTCAAATTTAGAAAATACTACGGCACATATAGCATATATTACACAAAAGACTCAGTAGAGTCAACAACACCACACTGACATTTCTGGGAGGAAAGTGCTATATAGGAATGTTTCCAATTAAGTTCCTCACATACATTTATATCGAGTTTTACTACCACGTGTGTTTTGGCATTACATTTATAAAAAGACATTGCCTTTTCAAAGCTTTTGTTGGATTTTAGAATTGCGGATAAGGGACTGTGGATCTATAACTCACCTAGTGTACCACAATCACTATTTCCCCACATCTCATTCTCTTCTTCTCCAATCCATCTTTTTATATCCCTTAACCACATCAATCTTCTAAGATCTAACGCCTGGCATTTAAGGGCTTCTACAATTTGGTTCCTATCAACTTCAGTCTTTTTTTTCCCCCAATTTCCCTGGAATGCTTTATAATCCACCCACTCTTCTTACCCACATCAAAATTTCTCCACAGGGCAGCTTTTGCTCACAGTTTTCTCAGCTCCTTCCTCACAACGCCCCTTTGCCAATACTGCCTTCCTGTCACTCCCATACCAAGCTGGGGTCACTACTTCACTCAAACACAGCGCGTTCCTTACTCTGCTTTGTACCACGGCACAGTTCCCTGAAGAGTTCTTTACCTTCCAGCAGTCCATTAGCACAGACTGTGATTTAATTTCTTTATTTGGGCTCCATAGCTATTTTTTAATTTCCTAGGATAAATGTTAAAGCCATAAATGGTAATTCAGACTTTATTTTGTAATATATGTATTTTAGGGTTTTAAATTTCCCTAAGAGATTTTAGTTAAATTCCACAATGCCTGAGACATATTATCGTTCAGCTCAAAACACATACTTATTTCCACTATGATTTCCACTCTCACACATGAGCTTTTGTAACACATTTTCAAGCATACAGAACTTTTGTGGGTCATCTTTTGCTGATTTCTAATTTAACCGTTACAACTCAGAGAACATTTTTTTTTATAATTTAAGTTCCCTGAAATGTATTAGGACTCACATTATGAGCAGCATATACAGTGGTTTTTGAAAATTATCTAGGTTTACTGCAACAGAACACATAGCCTACAATTAATAAGTACAGAGTTTGGGGCTGAGAATTTAGCTCAGCGACATAAGCACCTGCCTTGCAAGCACACAGCCATGAATTCGATCCCCAGTACCAAAAAAAAAGTACAGAGTTTAAAGTAAGTCAAGTTCATTAACCATGTTCAAATCTTCTAGACTACTGGTTTTTACTTATCTGTCTCATCTGCTTATTCAATCAGTTACAGAGAGAGCTGTCTTAATCTCATTATGATTTTTGGATGCATGTTTTTCTCCTCTTGGGTCTGTTAATTTTTATGGCTATGTCATTAGGTACATACAAATTTAGAATTGTTATCTTCGTGGTTACTGAACCATCTATCACAAAAAGTTCTCTTTACTTTTCCTGGTATTGGTACAGCTATATCATCTTTCTTTTGGTTAATGCTTGTATAACTTTTTCTATTATTTACTTTCAGTTTTCTGTATCCTACTATGTATCTTCATGCTGCGCCTCTTGTCAGCAACAATAGGTAGTGCTGCAGCACTCATCCAGTGCGGATACTGCTTCTTTTTTCAATGCAGCACTAAGTCTTTAACATTTCCAACAATAACAGACACACAGAGGTTGAGATCTGTTCTCTTCGTTTCTCTTTATTCTATCTGTTCTCTGTATCTTGTTCTATCTTTTCTGAGTCTCTTTACTTTTAAATTATTCCATTTTCTCCCTGTAATATCTTGTTAATGACATTTTCTTTTTCCATTCCCATTCTCCTTGTCTTAGCATAGTCTAAAATAAATTAGTACTTTGGTACTATTTGAATAATGCAAGGGCCTTAGAACATTTTAAACCAACTTACTGCTTGCCACCTACATATCAAACTACATATTTTTGTAATATTCTTCAAGAAATTACTATTATTGTTCAGTACTCACATATTTATCTTTTCTGTTATTCTTCATTCCTACCTTAATCTCAGGTTTTCAGCAGGAACATTTTCCAACTGAAGAAAAAGTTTCATTGTTTCTTTAAAGTGAGAGACTATTGCTGATTAATTTTCTCAGTATCTTATTTAATTCTTATCTCTCATTTCTCTTGACTTTATGATCACCTAAATCTCCTAATAGAACTAGTTATTTCTGATTTAAGTTCCAGACACTGTTTACAAAAAATTACTAGACAAATGCATGCCTGGCTAATGTTACCTTTCTCCTGAGAGAATTTACTTTTGCTTCTGGTAGGGTCAAGTAAGAGTTCAAGTAAAGACCAGTCAATAGCTTGTTAGTCTTACTACTCCTGGGTTAACTGCCCTCGCCTCCCTCCCATTCCAGAAGAAATGAATGACCCTACTAAAGAAGTGGCTCAACTGTTAGGATCTCCTGCTCTAGGAGTTTCCTTCTCCCAGAGCTTGGTCTTACCCTTCTTTACTTTTTTGTTCTTTTCCTGGTGTAGTATTTTTAAATTATTCTCAGTAAGAGGTTAGGGAGGAAATTATTTTGTCTTACCAGTTATACATCCACTAACTGTACCTAATAGAATGCACTGCAATATTCAGGTAAGTGCTAAGACACACTAGGTTTGCCACCAAGAATCCCTGCAATCAATCAATCAGCCCCAATTTTTGTAATAATCAAGAAATCAAGTGTGATTTACTGAAAAAGACAATAGTCTTTTACATTTTTAACAACAAAGTACAGCCACTGAATTAGGGCATTTAGATTATTCAACCCCCAAAAGACTACAGAAGTGAAACAAGAGATGACTGGACCAGCACAGGCATGAGTTAAAGATAACAGCAATGGGGATGAAAGAAGACAGAGAAGGAGAGACACTATAATATTCTACCAATTCTATCACCTGGCCACAAGAAGAAAGAGAAAAGGCAGTCAACAGTGAGTACAACATCTCAAGCCTGAGAAAGAAACTGATTGATCTGAAGAGGAATTCAGATTAAGTCACGAATATGAGGTATCTATAAGAATTAATTCACATTCAGCAAGCAACTGAAGGTCCTGGTCTGAGCCCTCACCAAAAATATGATTTCTAAAAGTTTAAACAGAACTTTCCAAAACTAAGTAGATTATAATTTACTAAATTAAGAAACCAGTTTTCTCTCGGTAGTCATCTATTTCCATTCATTTGTATAGAAAAAATCAAAATTAAAAATTCAGAGGCTTTGGATATATGGAAAAAGGAAAATAAATATAGAATTTCATTATCACATTTACAGAAGAGAAGTTAAATGACGGGGCAGGTGAGAGAGCAGTGGGAGGAGAATGGTTTACCTAGTGGTACATATCTACGATCCCAACACTCTGGGAGCTTAAGGCAGGCAAATTCTAAACTAAAACCCACTCTGGGCAACTCAGTGACTTTGCAAAACCCTGTCTCAAAATTTTAAAAGAAATAAAAAGTTAAAAAGGCTGGGAATGTAGCTTAGTATGAAGGCTCCAGATTTAACCTCCACTACTAGAAAAAAAAAGACAATCAGAGTTTCAAATAAGCTAGCAGCAAATTTAAAAGTACAGATGCATATCCAGTGAAACATAATAGTAAAGATAGTATTAAGTGGTTTAGCTATTTGTGAAGTTGTTTTATTTATTTACCAACAGCAATTAAAAAGCATTCTAGAATTACTAGGTTAGTAGAAAACTCACGGTTTCCAAAATTTTAAAAAAAAAAGAAATTTAAAGAGGCATATGTTGTATTATGCCTTCATATAAAAATGTTTAGTTTGAACAATGTAAGTCCCTGAAAATAGTATTCTCTAGTTTTCAGCTTAAAACTAAAAATAACTGGAGAATATGGAACACCATTTCATACAGTACTCTTCAGGGTCTCCAATTGGATACGCATTAGGATATGGATAAATAACTCATTCTGACAAATAAACGATACAATCAAGCAGCTATTTTAAGATGTCCCTGACAGAGGCTCATGCCCTGCAGATCCAACTCCAATACTAAATTCATCAACTCAAAACTCAATCTCTCATTATCTGCCAATGCAAAAATTCATTGTTCATTTTTGTTTTGGCTCAAAAAAATGTATGCCCCAAACCAGAACTGCAAACAAAATGCTCCACACAAACATATTGTTTCTCGCTCATAAGACCTGGTATATACTCTTATTCTGTCTGCCATGAAAACTGTTTCCATGTGTCTATAAAATAGACATTACACAAATTAATAAAACGCCTCCATATCTAAAGCAAAAATCTGTGATCATATCATGTTTCCATTGGTACTGGTTAGATTTAGTTGCTAAACATTCATTTGACAAACATTTGCTGAGTTACAGCTATGCCAGACACTAAGGATAAAAAGACAAACAAGATATAGCCCCTACCCTCAATGAAGGACTTAGGAAAGCAAAACAATAATGTAATCATTGACCTGATGGAATTGCTATTGCCAAGATGCTAAGGTTCCATAAAGAATTGCCAATTGTTCTGTTCTGTTGCTGTTTTGTTCCTAGTTCTGTTCCTGATTCTATTCTGCCCTGAAGTAAGTGCCAAAGTTCCCAGAAGGCTTCAACAGGTGAAGAAAAATGACTTCAATAGTGAGAAAACAAAGAAGTACCCCTGCCAGGAGGAAGTTAAGAGGGGAGGACTATCTTATAACAAAGGAACCATAGATTTTTAGTAAAACCACTTCATTTTCATGTTGAGAAAATTCACAAGATGGTGTCAGCATGTTTCAGCAAGAGGCACATGACTGCTGCGTGGGTGAGCTCAGATCAGAGCCCTCCACTCCATGGTGCTGTTTACAAATGGCTAAATTTTACATATACTGACCCAAAAACTTGTTTTACCTATTTTACTTCTATATTTATTGATAGTTTTTAAAATACTAACATTAAAAAAGACACTGCTCCTACATAGTTTTAATCTTTACTAACAATAATTCCTGTATTAGTAAAAATTATTTCACTTCATATGTATTAGTGTGAAAGAAAGCAGACACTCCAATGCATGACTAATCCAATGTAACTGGTACCAACTTTTATGAACCACAAGATAAACTTGGTAAATGACATTACTTACAAGACTGACAACTCACTGTAGAATTATCAAATCAAAGATTAAAGCAGCATAACTATTCACTTTTCAAACATTAAATAAATTAAGATATCTCAGTAAAATAAGGCAGAGCAGCCAGTTGAGATGAGCATTTTTGTAAAACACTTGAGAGACAAGAATGACCAAACCCAAGGGATTGGCAATTACACAGAATGGACACAGTCCAGACACAGGAAGGAAGTAAATAGGATATGGCAATAAGTTGGACACAGTGAAAAGTCAGGAGAGAGTGGGGTCAAGAACAGCAAATCAAAGCTACAATGCATACATCACACAATGCTTACTGTTTTATTTACAATTTATGCACAATACCAAAGCACTAAATTTATCTGTTAAGAATGAAAATCTTGTATGTAGTGGCAAAAAGACAAAGGAAACAATTTATACTAACAACATGACTACAATAAAACTTAGCTTTGGCTATCTTTAAAAAAAAAAAGGTACAGTATATACTACAACTATTATTTGGGGTAAGCAAGACTAAGACACCTAAGATCACAACGTAAATGAAAACCTCCTCTATAATGCTGCTAGAAATCATGGCTATTTACAAACACAGAGATCCTTCCTAATTGTGGAACAGACCCTGGTAACTTATTGCTCAGGGACTTTTCTAGCTACCACATTACTTCTGCACCAGAACAAAAGTGGATCTGGTCCAATATAAAGACAGCGCTGACTTCAAGCACTGGAAGTTCCCTGAGACAGAACCGTGAGGGGGAAGGTAGGCAACAGGAGAAAAAGTGCATCCTTAAAGAGTGTATTTTCTGGGGCTGGGGATTTAGCTCAGCGGCATAAGCGCCTGCCTTGCAAGCAGGCAGTCATGAGTTCGGTCCCCAGTACCGATAAAAAGGAAAAAGACAAAAAAAAAAAAAAAAAAAAGAGTGTATTTTCTGCAGCCCGCCCAGATTTTAAGAGCTGAGGTGCTGCTCGTCTACCATAGGTGGTTTTTGTCAATAGCTGACTTCAACTGTTCATGTTGGAAAGCATTAGAAATTAGTAAGCAGACAACTCTTCCACAACAATAATGTAAGGTCCAGAAAAAAAGTTAAAATACACTCTGTGTGAGTCTGTGTGTGTGTGTGTGTGTGTATTTTATACTATAAATGTCACCAACTGTTGAAGTAAAAAGGAAAAATAGGGTTTTAAATAAAATTAGTTCAGCCCTGAAATTTATTCAATCTAAAAATTTTCATAATGTAACCCAATTTTTAAGCTATTAAAGATTAGTTTTCTTCAATATTCACCTAGAAAATATTTGCAAATTTATAGCATTACCAAATTAACAAGATTCCATGTACACATTAAATGGTATAATTCCAACCAACCAAAAAAGCCCAAAGCAGCAAAAGCCAATGTGTTCAGTTCTTTACCTGCAGCTCCTTTGAGACTCTCTCTAAGTGATTAGTTATCTTTTTAATCAGATCACTATACATCTGTTCTGAGTGCTGCTGGCATACACACTTATACACACAACTGCAAAAACAAACCATAAAAACACAGTTAATGAAGGAGCACTTCATTCTAAGGTTAAAACATACTTTCATTATATAACCACTGACCACGTAATTCAAATCTAAAACAACAGACGAATTACAACTTTTAATAAAAATTTACCCTCCCATCAGTGTGTAGATGGAAAATATATTACAACACCAAATAATAAATATACAAAGTTAATATCACTAGATAATCTAACACTGAATGATAATCTAAGCTATAAATATGGTTAATTCTGGTAAACCAGGTTCTCTCTCGCTCTCTTTTTATATAAATAAATGTCAAAATAAAAGAGAGTGATAGCCAGTAGAGAAAGTTTCTAACTCACAAAAATATTTGCAATGCAACCTCTTTGTATATCAGTTGTGTGGAACAACACAGTTGTCACTTCTTCCTGTCACTGTGCTGATCTCACATCCCACCCCAGTTCCTAATTTGTTGTTTCCATTTACCAGGAGCTGGGAAACAAAATAATCAAAGAGTGTTAGAAGTGAGTGTCAACAAACATCAATAGATTAAACTAGGGTCTCCCTGTGAGGTTAAAAAAAATATGTATCTTTAAACCAAACACTTCCTTCATTGCTACTTTCTTCACTGACTTCCATGGTCATGATGAAAGTGGCAGGTGGAGGTAGAAATCTAACAGCAGGGCTTACTCTACTTTCATCTGAAAACCACTTTTATGAATCAAAAAGTATAAATCAAATCTCGTCTTGTGTATTTTGTGTATTATATACATATAAGCTATCAAAACTCAAACTGCACTGAATTCAAAATATCCCTTTAAACCCAGGCAAATTAAACATTGACTTACCTGTATATCTGTTCATAGGATATAGGGATATAGTCACCAGGACTCTGGGTTAAAAGTTGATCTATGGCACCATCCAATTTTGGCCAGTATGTGCTCTTATAATCTTCAATAGTTATAACATTCATTACTACAAGTAAAAAGTAAAGTAAATATTACTATGTATCACATGTAAACACCAATTATACCAATTTTCTACTCTCAAATTCCTCCTTCAAATCCCAATTTAAAAAAACAAACAAACCAACAAAACCTTGGTTAGGAATATTAAAATAGCCATTAACTGTGACTTTAAAAGAAATTATGAATCTGTCCATCTTTAAAAAATAACAAAACAAGTATCATTTGTATCATTCCCTTCCCTGTCAGGCATGAACCATTCCCAAACAATCTCTGAAACTCAAATATATATTGTCAATTATATGACAAAATGGCCTACCAGTAAGACACAAGAAAGCTCTAGAAACTGTGAACCCCAACAATTACTCCATCTCTGGGAAAATGTTATCTAATAATAGAATAATAGGGCTATGGGATTAAGGTCTAACTGCTACAGTCAGAGAAGGTTACCAGAAACCCTGCAAACATTTATGATATCACCAGTACTTTAGAGACACTACTACAGTGCTAATTCATACTCTTACCACCTGGAACTTGACAAGCACAACAGAAAATGAGTCAATGTCAAGAAGCCTTACAGTGAAAGTTTACCTCACCCCAAATGATAGACTTTATTCCTTCACTGGAGGTCTTACAGAGAATTTATAATAGTTGGTCCTAACAACTTTGAAATTGAGGAATGACCACTACTCCACAACACTGAGAGTCACGTAAAGAATTTAGTGATACCCTGGGAGATAGGTGTTAATAACTACCAGATCAGACTCTTCAGTGTATTTTGCTCTTTTCTGTTTTACTAGAGAACAGGTTTTAAGTAGCTTCCCCAGAGTGCATGATTAATGACTGAAGAGGTAGCCCGTACAAGAAAGCCCTTCTGTCTCATTACTGACTCCTAACCTCAGTCATTCAGATCTAAAATTGTTTTGTTGTATCATCTGTATTACTTTTATTCAATACATTCTTTAAATCAATTGAATCTTCATGTTTATTTCAAAGGACACCTGAGAAACGATTTGATTCACAGAAGAATCTGGCATAATCTTAAATGTATTTTGTTTCAGCTGGACATGCAGATCACTTGCCTAGCACATGCAAGGTCCTGGGTTCAATCCCTAGCACCACACAGGAAAAAAAATTTTTTTGCTAAGCAAAAAAAGCCAAACCCAAAAGTCTCCATAATATATGAATCCAAATTATATGACAGAGATAAAGGCAAAACAGTAGAAAAAAAGATTATCTGGTAGCATCAGGAAATGTTTCAGGACAAACATTTTCTTAAGAACTGTAACAGTGGATATATCACTCCATGCATTTCTAAAAACCAACAGAACTATATGCCATGAAGTGAATTTACTGAATGACAACTTTTTTAAAAAGATCAATATGGCTATAGTGGTAAAGATGAAATGTAAATTGTGACAAGTGAATCTAACAGAATCCACAATAAAGAGAATAGAGAGAAAAAGGAATGTTTTGACAGAAAACAAACAAAAAAAATGTACACAAACATGAACACATGTTCAAACACATGGGCACAGTAAGAAAAAGTCATACGGCAAAAGGCCTTATTGGCCACTGTAAAGACCATGAGTAAAATGGGGAGCTCTGGAAAGTTTTGAGCAGAAATCATATGATCTGACTGAAGTTTTACACAGATCATTCCAGCTGCTGCAGTAAGAGAGTAAACTCATCTAGTAGGCCATGAGATGACAGAAAGGGAAGCGGTGGAGTCAGATGGCAGCCCTGAAGATAAGCAGCAGTCAGATTCTAAAATATGAATATATATATTTGGGGGGAAATTGAGACAGGGTCTCCCTATGCAGTCCAGGCTGGCCGTGAACTCACTATGTAGCCCAGGTTGTCCTTGAACCCTCAGGGATCCTCCTGTCCCAACCTCCAGAGTGCTGAGATTATAGGCAAATGCCAGGATTACAAGCAAGTGCTAGGATTACAGGCAAGAGCAAGGATTACATGCTCAACTCTGAATATATTTTAAAAGTAAAACCAACACGATCTGTGAATGGGTTGAAGAAAGATATGAAAAAAAGGCTGAAATCCGCTCGAAAGTTTTTGTAATAAGCACCAAGAGCTAAAGCTGTTTATGGAGAGGAGCAAAGCTGCTGATTTGCAGATACTGCTGGTGCGCTATTCATCTACCCTGTGCACAAGGCCAATTAATGTAACACTTACAACTACTTACCTCAGTATTGGGTTTGGTTGCCAGAGCTGGCTCTGTTCTGCTTGAGGGGCAAGGTGAAAATTGCAGAGAATTAACGCCCCAACAGCTACTTTCAACCAATGACTACTGAGAATTCCAGTACCCTGCACTAATGGCTCCTGGTGCTGTCAGGTGAGATGACCAACACATAGGTGCTACACCGGCACCGGGAGGCCCCCATAGGGATTAAGCTCCAGTGGTAAACGGCTTTACCACCTCCTCTACCTTCTGTATGTCATTTTCCCAACTCCCCTAAAGGTATTTCCTTTAGTCACTGCTTTGTGCTTAGAACTATTTGTGCTTTAAAAAAAAAATAAAGGAATCTATTAAAAATGAAAAAGCCACATTACTTGCCATTAACCAGAAAAACAAATACAATGTTATTAAACTGTATCTAGGTTTTTCTGTCTGCTAAATCTTCTGAGCCTCAAGTCTGCTCTCCATTTAAAAACTGGCAGTTGTTGAAAACTATTAATGCACTGGTTCCAAAAAAGATTTCTGCTTATGTAATCAAAAGGATTCAAATAAAACTGAAAGAGAAATTGCTTTCTCACTATGTGATTCTGTCCACGAACCCCTTAGCAGTATGCCACCTACAGATCGTCATATATCTGCTCTACACCAAAAGCTGAGACATAAAGAAGGTGAATGTCATACTCAAAAAGAAAACTATGGTACCCCAAAGCCAAAGTGAGCACATCAACTTTATGCGCTCCTGAACTGCTTACTTCAGTAAACCACAGGCTTCAAGCACAGGATTCACATCTCAGCAAATCACCAAGTCAAAGATGTAAAGGAAGAGAAAAAAATAAATGAAAATGTAGAGTTCTCGAGTTGCAAGGACAGAATGGAGGAGACGTGCCACTTCAGAAGCATAATTGCTGATTGCTCAGGTTATCTTTAATGCTTTTTTTTTTTCCTTTTAAAGATCTTTGAAAACAGACAAAAAACCAAAATGAAAATGGCATGAGAAACAGCAGGAAATCCTTTTGCAACATACCAAAAAAAAAAAAAAAAAAAAAAAAAGCTACATGTACTTACAGACACATATACATTTATTTTCATATATAATTTACTTGTAAACTAAAGAGGCCAATTCAGTTGATCTGATATCCTGGCCACACAGCCTTCTTAAGGGGTCAGGGATTGAGCTCAGTGTATAAGCACCTGCCTGGCAAGAGTGAGTTCGTGAGTTCAATCTCTGGTACCAAAAGAAAAAAAAAATGGCCTTCTTGGTAAAAGACCAGCCAGTTTTCACCAAGAAGCCAGCAGAACTCACCTAAGTACCTGCAGAGGCACAGAGAGCCTAAAGAATGGATACAGTTGAAGTCGCAAGGCTCTACACATCTATGATCCAGTTTTACAATAGTCCAGAAGTTAAGATATTGTTGCTTCTCTGCTCATCCTGACACAATTCCTAGTTAAAAACCATTAGCAATTTGTTCATTTTACCAGCAGTTTTATTATGTAGCCTCAGTGTGTGTGTGTGTGTGTGTGTGTGTGTGTGTGTGCGATCCTCAACTTTAAAGTTTGATCCTATTTTTAGAGAAATGAAAACACTTTCAACTTTGCCCACTAAACAGATTCAACTAACCAAAAGAAATAGTGAAGTCCATACCTTTACAAAAAACAAGTTTACCAAGTTAAAAAAGCCAGATGGAGTATAAAACACATACAATGATCTTAGGAGATATACAAAGTTGCATAACTTGGACAATATTTTTCAACTTTTTACTTTTTGACTTAAGTAGTTCAATATTAAGTGTACATCAAAAAATAAGTAAGTAAAAGAAAAAACTAAAAATCACTCAAAATTTCACAACCAATATACTGGTATACAGCATCAGTCTTTGTCCAACATACATTTTATGTGATTAAAGAGCAAGTACAAATTTCCAGTCAGTTAAAGAATTCCTTGAGTTCTGCTGTTATGGTTGACACATTGTGTCATCTTGGGAAGTTTAGAAGTTTAATTGAGAGACTCATCTGGGAGCCAGAGTTTTTACTTTGTAAATATCCTCATCCTGTGCAAAGAAGGGCAAGGAGATTTTGTGAGTGCAATACCCCGCCTGAAGAGGGAGGGTGGCATGTGTACAATATAAGAGGCTTGTTTTCCCCCTTTTGCTCTGGCTGCTGCCTTGAAGTGTTGCCCCAGTGCCATAACACCCTGCCTTGGAGCCAGGTACTTATGGACTGAAACCTCTACAAACAGTGAGCTACATAAACCTTTCCTTCCTTCATTTTGGGTGTCAGGTGTTTTGTCTCAGCAATGAGAGAAAAGTAACCAAGACACCTACCTTTTAGATCATTAAGTTTTTCTGGATATAATATGCAATATCAGTAAATATGAAACCCCCCGCCCAAAAGCATGGAACTTAGTAAAATGAAATAACAATTTTCTACCTGAAAGTAATGGACTACTTTTTAAGCTGGTCTTAAAAGGCACCACAAGGCTATACACAGTATTGCACATCTTTCATACCAGCTACTTAGGAGACAGATGCAGGAAGATCACTTGAGTGCAGGAGCTCAAGGCCAGCTGGAACAAAACAATGGGTGGGGCAGGGGGGAATAAAGAAAGAAAAAAGGTACTACAAAAGCAGAACTCGGAAGAAAACCAAGCTTAATTCTTCCCCAAACTCCCCTCCCTGAAAGTACATACCTCTGAGAGGTTACAGATAAGGTGAACAAGTATATTCCTGTAAACAGAGTCCTGTGGCATCCTGTTCCCATCAGGATCTGTTTTCCTTCAAGGCTGACCTCTGCTCTGTTCCTGATAAAAATGACAATTA